ATTGGGACGAGCAGCGTGGGCGCAGGGAGCACGTGCAAGCCGAGGTCCTTCAACCCTGCCGCTTTTTTTTGTTGCAAGAGGGGGGACTGAGGGGATTCAGAGATTTCGGGATTCAGGGTTTGGGGGGGCATGGATTTGAGGTGAGGATTTTGGGGGGGAGGCTGGGTGGTGGGGTGGGTCAGGGGGTGGGGGGGTTTAGGGTTTAGGGTTTAGGGTTTAGGGTTTAGGGTTTAGGGTTTAGGGTTTAGGGTTTAGGGTTTAGGGTTAGGGTTTGGGATGCTCTGATGCTCTACCCTAATTAAGCCCTCAGCCCTAAGCCCCCACCACCCTATTTGAAGGCGCAGCTTTGGGGCCTGGAGGTTGCTCGAATTGTAGGGTTTAGGGTTTAGGGTTTAGGGTTTAGGGTTTAGGGTTTAGGGTTTAGGGTTTAGGGTTACCCTAAAGGTTTGGGGTTTAGGGTTGAAGCTCGCAGCAGTTCCCAGAGGCCTTGTGCAAGACGCGAGGCATTGGCATGATCCTCCTGGCATGCAGAAGCAAGTCGAGCACAGACCCTAAGCAAGAAAACCTTTCAGCCCCTTTAACCTTTGCAAAGTTCAGGTAGAAATCTGCCATGACGGTTCTGATTGTCCGCTTAGGGATAATGGTTGGTGCGGCAAACCTACAAACCTTAAAGCACTAACCTCAAACTGGGAAAGGGGGGGGGGGTGGGGTAGCTGCAAAGGCACTTGGGGGGATCTGGGAAGAGCTTCGGAATTTGAAGCCATAGGAACTTTGCTAACTGGAGTTTCTGAAGAGGACGAGCTGTCAGGAGGGACCATGTTCAAGGACCAGATGGTCTCTTCTCTAAATGACGGTCCCTTTAGGGGCTGCCTGACCTCAAAAGAGACCATATTTCGGAGAAGTGACCACATAGAAGAAAGTCTGAGCGAGAAAAAGGGCTAAGGGCTTTCGAAGGCGAACCCTGCGAAACCACTCATTGACCCACTGCTCCAGTGTCTGGGCTACGCCACCCTTGTCACCTTTATTGGGGTAGCGGGCGCAGTCGAGCAACATTTCTTCTCTTTCAGGACGCCCCCCCCCCCCCCCCCCGCACCCAACGCGAACCCTCGCAATCGCAAAAACTTGCCTTTTACATCTTGCGAATCTCGTCTGAATCAGCTCGCCCAGAAGTGCAGCTCTGAGAAGGCGAGAGCAGACCCGAACCATTCTTAGGCCTCTAACTCTACGGCCAACCAGCGTCATTAGCTCCTCGAATGGGGAAGAACCTTCATACGTACATGCCGCATCCTGAAAGAGGATCCTGATGCAACACCGAAGAGCATGGCCCTTGAAAGGGAAGACAGATAAGCCTGGATTTGCAGGTGTTTTTCGGGGCACGTCTCTGTTCCGCAAGCACGCAGCACTCATCAACACAACGCCTTAAGCGAGCCACTCGGCCGAATGCCATCGTTGGGAAACCTAAACTAGACCCAACAGTCACCTAGAAATAACACAAGTGCCCTTGTCGGTTTAAAGGGGCTTTTAAGGAACCTAAACCCTAAAAAAAGGGGAATGCGGGCCTAATTACTCTGGGCCCTAGTAGAACCTTGTTGCGCCGAAGGGTTCCAAGTGTGTCCCAAGCCTAAACCCTAAACCCTAAACCCTAAACCCTAAACCCTAAACCCTAAACCCTAAACCCTAAACCCTAAACCCTAAACCCTAAACCCTAAACCCTAAACCCAAGCATCCCAAGTGTTCCAAGTGCCGCAAGTGTTTCAAGTGTCGCAGGTTTCCCAAGAGACGCAAGTGTCCGAAGTGGTCCACATGGGTGGCTGTCAAAAAGATGATCCCTTTTGGGGTACCTTAAATATTGTGCCGCATTATACTAGGGATCCATAAAGGGACCAGAATTTTGACAACCACCCACATGTCTCCAGCGAAGGGATCCAGTGTTCCAAGTCGCCCAACAAGTCACCCAACCGTCCCCCAAGCGTCCAAGTGTTTCAAGTGACCCAGTCCCAAGCGACCCAAAAGGTCTCGAGCGCCCCAAGTGGCCAAGTGTCCCAAGATGCCCAAGAGAGGTCCCAAGCATACCAAATGACACATGACCCAAATGTCCCATGCATGCCACGCGTTCCAAGCCAAATGTCCCAAGTGTCCCACGCGCCCCAAATGGCCCAAGTGTGCCGTGAACATATATTCGATGTACGAAGCTGCATTTTGAGTGGCGAGTAGTATTCGGGTGGTCTTGGGGTGGCATGTCTTCGTGCTGCGGTGCACATTGCCGGCCCACCACCTGCCGAGCACGCCCTACATCCTAGACCGAAACACGCTTGAGGACAGCAGTCCTGGACCCTGCTAAGGCCCCCAAAAAGATATTTCCCACATAAGGGTTGAGGGTTCGGGTTTTGGGTTCAGAGATCAGAGGAGGCCTATGTAAGGCATATGTGATGGGATAAGCTCCCCACTCCACACCAGAAACAAACCTGAACCCTAAGCCCCAAGACGTAAACCCTAACCACTCGTTTAGAAACAAGGCTTCGTGGCCTTGAGTCGTGCCAGATGGTGGTCCAGAGCATAAAGGCCCGCAGCTGCCAGGATACCGACCTACTCAGGTCAGGGTTTGGGTTTGACATGGTTTTGCGGTCGGGCATAGGGACCCGATAAACCCTAAACCCTAAACCCCCAACCCCTCAACCCCAAGCCCTCAACCACGCGCTCTCCCCGCGCCTGGCGCAGACCGCCGCCGACGGCCTTCCGCAGTCTCCGCGCCTTCTGGATGAACCTGGGGAAAATTGGGGCTTAGGGTTTAGGGTTTAGGGATTTGGGGTTTAGGGAGTTTAGGGAGTTTAGGGTTTAGATAAGGTTTAGGGTTTATAAGCTGGAGGGCTTGAGGGCACCAGCTGTAGGGTTTATTGCTTGAAGCTTCAGGGCTTTTAACTTTAGGGTTTAGGGTTTAGGGTTTAGGGTTTAGGGTTCAGTTGAGGAGTCAGGTTTGGCCAAGGAACGCACCTTCCGTCATCATTGAGGGGGCTGAGGGAAGCGCGCCCGGGCGCCCGGGGTAGGCAGGGGCTGCTTAAGTAGGTTTTTCTTTTTCAAGGGCGCTTAGAATCGTGTACGTACTTCGTCCCCTGATCCTCCAAGTAGGGACTATATGAGGTGTCGACAGGGCTTAGAGAATATTAATAGGATTCAGGGACCCATCCAGGCTAGCATCCCTGAAGTAACTTCCGTATGCCAGGTGCCGGAGGCACCTAATTAGGCATGAAAAGGGTACCACCCATGTTTGAGAGAATCTGAGCCCAAAGAGAAAAGGAGAAAGTGTCCGAAGAAAACGGGTAGGGGCAGAAGCCTTATTAGTACACAGCTGCCGCAGCTTGGCCGAAACCTTTGGAAACACAGAACCCTAAACCCTGAACCGTAAGCCCTAAACCCTGTTTTCCCGACTTCGTAGGGGCCTTACTCGAGGGTTTAATTGTAGTTCTAGGTAGGGTTTCATAAGTGCCCGAAATAAGCTGATATACAACTCTGCTTATGACCCATGAACCTCCAAGTATCCCTAAACCCTAAACCCTAAACCCTAAACCCTAAACCCTAAACCCTAAACCCTAAACCCTAAACCCTAAACCCTAAACCCTAAACCCTAAACCCTGAATTAAAAAGGGGCCTTACACTGAGCGCAGCCCGGGCGGCTCGGCAGGCCCCGCAAGGACAGAGCCGACCGGGGCGCCAAGGCCCTTCGAGAGGCAGACATTCACCTGACTTAGGGTTTAGGGTTTAGGGTTTAGGGTTTAGGGTTTAGGGTTTTCTCTCTCGCCGAACTAGAAGCGTCCAAGGCGCTGCCGGTCCTGAATGAAATTAATTAAGAAGTCACATGACATCGTCTAGGAAGACACGCGGAGTCTCTCGCGCCCCCAGAACGATCGGTGGGGGACCCACCTCAGCAAAAATTGGGAGAGAGTCCTCCGGGCCTCTCCCCTTTGTGCGTCGCAGACGCAAGCTCTCCGCACGGTCGAGCTCCGCTCGGGCCGTGTCGCTAACGGCTTCGCAGTGTTGCGAGACCCACTTCATGCAAGCTGGCTTGCCTTTGCGCCAATGCCTCAAAAGCCTAGTGCGAGTGCGGAAATTGAGGCCACATGCTTGACAAGACGAGCCCACAGCGTACCAGCCTGCCCTGGCCTGAATGTGGTGCGAAAGGGCTAAATGGGCCGCAAGACCCTGCCGGCCTTTGCAGGTTTGTTGGCACAAGAAGCAAGTGATCGATTGGGACTCCTGCCTGGCGGGCGGCAGATCTGAAGGCTGCGGCGCCTCAGCTGCCCGAGAACCTGCCTTCGAAAGGCATCTATTCAAAACAGTGGCGTTTTGGTTCACAAATGCACAGACCTCCTGTGGCAGAGGCTTAGGCAGGACAGAGGTGGGAGCCAACCGAAGGGAGCACAGCCATGAGTAGTCGTCAAGAACGTCTGACAGCCAGCAACGGGGCTCGCCCGCGACTGCTTCGATAGCTGCGGCAATGGGCCCCGAGGTCGTGCGATGCAACTGGCCAAAAAGGCGAAGACGTTCCAGCGACAGAAGCCTGCAGGGAGGAGGCAACCCGCATTGCTTACACACCTCGACATCAGAGAGCCAGGGGTCCGATGCAGTGTTTTTGACAGGAAGCAACAGGCGATAAAGCCGCATGATCCCTGCGTGCCAGGCCCTCATTTCTTGCACCTGCAGGCCGGCCCACGCACCGACTCCGTGAAGGGCACGGCCAAGGACAAGACCGCGGAAGAGAACCCGACGCACTGCTAGGGGGACATTGGGATTTGAGAAGACCGATTTGGCTAGCGGCTTAGCAGAAGCCGCCGCCAGAAGCAGCCTGCGCCTGATGTCAGGAAGTAGGGAACAATCTTCTGCAACTAGCGAACCCAAGTGACAGTACTCTGGCACAATCTTGACTTGCTGCATGGTGCCGATATCCGGCAGAAAGGACACCGTGGGGTTCGGCTTATCCTTCAAGGCGAACGTGACAACTCTGGATCCTTTTCCAACAGCGCGACAAACACATTCTGTCTTGCCGTTGTCGTAGTTGACGCTCAGTCCTCTGGAGGCAAAGGTGTCATGGGCCAGACGCGCCACGAAAGCTATCGCGCCTTGCAGGGCAGCAGGGGTGTCAACCACAAACGGGACGGCTAGGTCATCATGCCACATGCAGGAAGCCTCTAACCAAGATGTGCCCGGCTCAACCCCTGGCAAAACTCCGGCGGTATTGAAAGACGGTAGCAAGCCAGCATCACGCATGGTCTCGTTCAACTGCTTCACGGCACCGGCAACGGACAACCCGAAAAGGATATCCGCTAGGGGATCACCTGGCCTGGAGCCTGCTTGAGTGGCCACGACCTTTTCTGAACCTTGGACCTGAAACCACGTAGATTGGAGCACATCCTTCACACGGGCTCCCAGGACAGGCTGCAGAGAGTCCAGAACCTTGGCATCAACTGCACCTAGGGCGGCTACGATCGCCTCAAACTGTTCAACGCCAATTCCAAGCCTGCCACAGAGAGCTTGGAAGGAATCAAGAGAGCAGTCTGCCCCAGTGACAAACTGCCTCAGGACCGAGTAAAAGGCAGAACGCAGGTCAACAAAAAGGATGCCCCAAGAAAAACCCCGAGATTGAGCCTGGGCCTGGAAGCTACGGAGAAAGAGAGAGAGGAGCCCGGTGGAATGACCACCAGTAACGCCGCACTGGAGGGGAGCAGCCCTTTCACGAAAAGTAGCAAGTAAAGAGCTGCGAAGCCATGCGTGCCAACGTTTCCCCAACACCTCCGAGACCAAAATGCTTCGATACTCGCCGGGTTTTGTGCCTTGCCCCTTTCCTTTGAAAAGGGGGAGGGCCTTCCCACCTCGCCAGGCTAGGGGCTCGGGAGCGCCACAAGCAACCTTGAGCGTGAGACCATAAGTCAGCCGAGCCATAGCCGCGGTGGCAGCACGAACATGTGAGGAGGATAAGCCATCCGGGCCCGGAGCTTTCCCTCTAGGAAGGGCACGAAGTAACCCTTCCCACTCCGTAAGTGTGGGAAGGAAGTCAAGAGCAGCTGACTGGGCCAGGGGCTGCAGGCTGGAAACATGGTCGCTCACAAGTTCAGCGGCGGTGCAGACTTTCCCTCCCTCTGACCGGGCGAAGTGAAAGGACCAAAGATCTGCTATCTCACCAGCGTCAGCGCAGGGAAGACCATCTTTCGTAAGGACCTGGGTGGCAGGCCGAACTCTCGAGGGAGCCCCTGGACCCGCCCTGAGCGGCTGCAGCGCCCTATAGAGGGCCTTGGAGTCTCGAAAGGAAGCCTTGTGCTCAAATTCAACAGCAAGGGAAGTGAGGTAGCTGACCTTCGCTGCCTTGAGCTTACGGCGCAAAGCCCGTGCTAAGGTCCTGAACTGAGCAAGTAGGGGCGACTGCTCCACATTGTCTCCTCCTGAGCGGAGCTCGCGCAGACGTTTCCTCAGAGCATTCCGCTCCTTTAGGAGGTCAAGGATTTCTGGCGTGACGTAGGGCCGCCTGGGAGTAGGCGGCGCCTGGTAGTGAAAATGCGCCATGCGGTCTTGCAGACCCTGACGAAGGGCGCTGGCATGCTGATCAGTTGACAGGTCCCATCGAGGCCTGGTCATACATGCAACAGAAGCACTCCAGGGCTCCGCCCATTCTTCCGGCAGCTGCCAGCGAACACTTTTTGGGCGGTGAGTTGCTTTCCCGGGAAGCTGCAGACGAAGGCGACAGGAGACAGCTCTGTGATCATCCTGATTGGTCAAGGCATCGTACTGGAGCAATGTGGCGGATTCCTCAACGGAGGCGGACAAAGCCTGTGGAATGGCAATGTAGTCAAGGCGAGCCTCAAAACCTTGTGGTGAGCGCCATGTGGCAGAGGGGCCAGTGTGACTAAACGTTGCAGGTAAGCACATACCAAACTGCTCAAGGAGCTCTAACCATGCTTCTCCATTTGCATTCAGGGGCTCAGCTCCAAAAGAACCCGAAACACCCGTGTGGCTAGCGCCCAGGCGGGCATTTGCGTCCGCAGCTATGAGAAGAATGTCGCCAGATTTGCAAACCTTCCCTAGAACCTTCACAAAGAGATCCCACCAATCCAGCCTCTCCTTTTCCGGTCGCTTGCTGTGCGGCGCGTGAGCACAGACACACAGGAAGGTGGCACCTTGCATTGTGAGGCGGCACACCAGCAGTCTCGGAGAAGAAAAAAGGAGCGTGACCTGCGACGGTGTGACTGGCTTGCCAGAACCCAACAGTGGTTCATCAACCCGAAACCACAGCGCGCATCCCCCTTGGCCTTGTTCGTCACAGGCTGAATTGACAACGTAGAAGGCACCAGAGGTGTATGAACTGCTGGAAGGGAGTCTGGTCTCCTGGAGAGCGACAAGGCCAAAGTCATCATGAAGCAGCTGCTTGGCCAAAAGTTCCTGGAGGGCCGGAATGTACATCCCTGCTTCTTCCTAGTTGAGCCCGGATCTCGCAAGGAGCACACGTTGAAGGAGAGAAAGGACAGCTTGCCAGCAACGGGCTTGGAATAGTGAGACTTGCCTGTTGGAAAAGCGCAGTCACTGCGCTGCGTAGCAGAGACATTAACGAGACCGGTGCCTGCAACCAAGTCCCAGGCGGTAGGCAGATCTCCTGCGCTGACTGGCAGGGTCCAGAGCCATGGAAGCAGCTTTGGCTGAAGCAAAGAGGAAAGACTATTAATGCATGTTTGACCCTGGTCGTCATGGAGCGCAGCTTTGGCAATGAAATCAGCCGCATCATTCCAAGCGTGCCCAGAGTGGCCCTGCACATGAAAAAGCTGGAGACTTTTACCCAAGGCTCTATGCAGATGCATAAGGGACCTAGCTGAAGCATGAACTGTGCGAGGGGCCCCCCGATGCAGAGGCACGGCCCAGGTGCCTGTTGCGGCTTGACCCGCAGCTTCATTGTCATAATGCAAAAAGACACTGGCAGCAGGAGGAGCAGCAAGGGCCCAAACCAAGGCAGCAGAGACTGCCGAAGCTTCAGCTTCGCAGGAATCGTGCACAGTCTCGCCAAAGATCCCTTGAGCTGTGCGTGCAAACAAACACCCTTCAATACCCCAACCCCTATCAGGAACCCAAGAGGTGACTACAACCGCCCAACCAGAGCCAGCTGTGCTTCTGGAGCCGTCAGAGAACAAGTGAAGCTCAGAGCCTATAGGCAGCTGGCGCAAATCCGGAATGGGCCTATGGCAAGGAGCCACGGCTGCGCGCACATGGGAAGGCGCTCTGTCAAGAGCAGGGAGTGGACGGAGACGCAGGGGAAAACATCCTGCCAACACTTCATCAAGGGCTCGGGCTGCCTTAGCCAGACCAACAAAGCAGGATTGCCTTTCTGGGGGGCACTCAATTGCTGCTGAGAGTGACACACGTAGAGATGGCCAAGGTCTGTGCGGGAAACAGCCTTCGGATCCTGAAGGCGCATGAGCCTCTGCGGCAAGGGTCGACAGGGAACCGCCTTGTGTTGCAGAGGAGAGAGGCTGAGTTGCAGGATGGTTCAAACCCTCAAGTCCCTGAAAACACGCAACCAAAGCCCGAACCTCAGAACCTTCAAGTGCTGGATGGGCCGCTCCTTGCTGCGCTTGAGAGCCTTGCTTCTCTTCAAGCGGAAGGTCTGGTGTCACCGGCAACAAAGGCGCTGGAATGAAGACATGCTCGGTGAGGTTTGACAGGGAACCGGCCTCAAGCCGAGGTGTAGGGAGCGACTGATCGCCATGCTCTGTACAACTGTACATATGTACAACCGTAGTGCCGGACAGACAAGCATGGGAAGGGCTCGGGCCGACAGTGGGAACATCCAAAGGTACTCTAGCCTCTCCAAGGCTTTTTCCAACATTGATGTCCCACTGTCCACCATCCCTGCACGCTGGTCCCTCAGACACATACGGGGCAAAAGAACCTGATATCTCCCGCTCAGAGCCACTGTGCTGTCCATTGGCGTCGGAAGGCTTCTCGCAGGAGATCCGGTTGATGGTGCCCAGGTCGGCAAAGTGAACCGTGCCTGGCATAGTACGACGGCGTTCCAGGCACGAGGTGAGCTCTGCATCCTGAACGCTGTGACAAAGTCCGGCAAACTCTTTTTCTTGAAGATAGCCGGCTAGACCTCTCTGTGCAACCCTGGCATAAGCGATGTCAACAGGGGAGCGGGTCTTCACTGCATGCTTTGAGACTCGACTGTCCATCTCGACGACATACTGATCGACACTCCAAGCTTCCAGCATGTATTGCGCATGTAGAGCCAATGGCCTGGCATTCCAATACTGCTGGCAGTCTATTTCTGTCTGAATCGAGTGGTACAGGAGATAACGACTAGGCTCAACCGTGACCGGTCGGCTCACGATTGAGCCTGCGGAAAAGGCCGCGCGGGCTGCGAGAGCAAGGAGCCAGCTTCTTTCGCTTCCTCCTCTCCTGAGCTCACTGAAATGCCATCTCGCTGCTTGCTTCTGCGAGGTGTGCGAGACAGCTCCTTCCTCTTCCTGGTAGCTGCCTGGTCCGCGTCGTCCTTGACCACTTTCAAGGATTGCAGGAGCGCTTGCTCCTTTTGACGGAGTTCTGCTGCTTTGATGGCTGCCTGGTCTTCCAAAGCGGGCCCTGGGAGCCCGTCTGTCTCCATCAGCGTCGCTTCCGAAGACTTGCTGCCTTCTCCACCAGCCAAACGAAGCATGTCTTCTCTGGCCTGCTCTATGGTTTCTTGGAGCGACTCTTCTGCAGCTTGGTAGTTGAGCATCACTTGCTCCTTTTCCGTCAACTGAGCTTCCACCGTGGACGCCAAACCATGAATATACTTTTGCCAGCCAAGCAAGTAGGTTTCCCTGTCCTCTTGCACTTGGGAGAGCGCTTTCGCTGCATTGCTTTGGGCTGAGATACAACGATGTAGGTCTTTGGCATTGGCTGAGGCACTTTGCTGCAGCAAGGCCTGGATGTCGCTCGGTAGCTCCTCCTTTCGAGCCACAAGTAGCGCCATCATGTCTGCCATCGAATCGTCTGCGGGCAACTTGGGGGCCGCAGGTACTGGAGGCTGCGGTGGCTTGCTTTTGCCTTGGCCTTTCCCTTGCCCCTTGTGTGACGGGAAAGAGGCCGGCACAGGAGGTGGAACAGGCAACTGCGTACCCTCCCCACCTCTGGGATGCTCCTTGGGCTGCTTTTGCCTGGGAGATTTCGGGCGACGGCGCCGAGGTGAAGCTGCTTCTCTGGTGGACCATTGCCAGCCCCCCCAAGCCTCCGTAGCAGCTGGCTGCGCCGCCAAGTATGTTGCGCCTAAATCTCTCCAGTGTTGCCCACATTGGGGGCAAAAGGCCGCAGAGCCTTTCACATGCATGTTGCAAACTGGGCAACGCCACGCCGGAGCTTTGTTCACTTTCTGGGATTGCTGCATCATCGCCGCAACCTTGTCTGGCAACGTACTGTTGGAATGATGTGAACGCAGGCACTGAATGGCCTGTCTCGTGAAGGTCGTCGGTCCAGCTGCTCCTGACACAATGCTCCGCAAATGCGTACGAGCAACTGTCCTTTTCCTTCTGGCTCGGCGGTGCGCCGCTGTCTCTTGTACTCTTGTCCTCGAGGCCGTGATGACGAATCAGGAGGCTCGAGAGGATCAAAAGGCCGTAGTACATATGAAAACCACCACCACTGCAATGAGTGAAGAGATGCACCCAGTCGGCTCAGTAAAGGGCAGCGACTTGTACACTCAACCTGGAAAATCCACAGCAAGTCACGGAGTCGGCGCAGTTAAGGCAGCGAGTCCAGAGAGCTGACGTTCCACAATGGCTGGGGTTAGGGCTAGTTTCAACCGTCGCACGTGCGGACACGGAAGAAACACCTGATATCGCGGGCGAGGGCACGCCACGCACTGGGGTCAGGCTTAGGCTAGGGCGCGGACTTGAAGCTAGTCAAGAAACTACGCAAACCCTGCCTAGCCGAGACGCCTGGTTTAGGGTTTAGGGTTTAGGGTTTAGGGTTTAGGGTTTAGGGTTTAGGGTTTAGGGTTTAGGGTCTAGGGTTTAGGGTTTAGGGTTTGGGGTTTGGGGTTTGGGGTTTAGGGTTTAGGGTTTGATGTTTACAGGTTTAGGGCTTGGAGTTTGGGTTTAGGGAGGTTTAGGGTCTAGGGGTTCAGAGGCTTAGGGGTTTAGGAGGGGACTTAACGGGGTCCGGAGTGTGTAGGGGCTAAGGGGGGTTTGGGGCTTTTAGGTGCTTGGAGGGTGTTGTTGGCCTTAGGTTTGATTTAGGTGTATGGTTTCGGGTTTAGGTTTAGAGGCTTCCTACAACCCAAATACCCAAAAGCCTCCAGAAGCCCGAAAATCTTTGCTGGTGTAGGCTTTATAGGCTTCCAAATGAAGAAAAACAATGCCTGTTGTTGGTGTAGTGGCGTTTATCAAGAGAGCTAAACCCAAAAACCCTACATGTAAAGCAGCAAGAAGAGATGGAATAAGGGTACCACAGTGGCATCCTACTTCAAGGTTCATAACCTTCATTCAGGTACTTTATCCTACTTATTTATCACTACCCATGAAACCTTCAAGTAGGACCTTAGGCGCCCCGAACACAGGTAAACACCATTTCCTGCGGAGCAGCCGTGTCTGCAGGCTTGACCAAGTCCTTAGCGTTTGCGGAATTTAGCTTGCCAAGCTCATTTGCGAAACCTGAAATACCAGACTTGACTCCCAAACCCCGAGCCCGGCCCTAAACCACGGGCGGAGGGCTTGGGATGTAGCGTTTGGTGTTTACAAGCACCTTCAAGAACACTGCACCAATACTTACCGTTCAGGGCTTTGGGTCCGGAGAGATTTGGGTTTTTCAGGGTCATCAGCCATGCGTCCGCCGGTGGAAGGCCCAGAGCAACGGCCGCGTTCCACAGGCGCGCGCCGTCCACGTGCAAGCGCAAGCCATGTGCTTTGCCTGCAAATGAAGTAGGGTATATATTTCTTGCACCCCCAAAAGGACACCCGGTATATACACTCGCCAATATTTAAAAGGAACCTTATATGCACTCACTAATAACAGTAATATAAATTGGGCTTCAATGGCTTCAAGCTTTTTGGCCATCCGTCCGAGGTGCAAAACTCGCCTGCCTTCTCCATGTACTCAACCTGGGCAGGGTTTAGGGTTTAGGGTTTAGGGTTTAGGGTTTAGGGTTTCGGGTTTAGGGTTTAGGGTTTAGGGTTTAGGGTTTAGGGTTTAGGGTTTAGGGTTTAGGGGTTAGGGGTTAGGGGTTAGGGGTTAGGGTTTTCGGGTTTAGGGCTTAGGGCTTCACAGCGTTCACTTCATAGCGCACCAATCTTTCGCCTTTTACTAAAGGTTGCCGTGAATGGGACGCATCAATGTAACTCACAAGGCGTTTGGCACGAGCACAGAGAGCACAGAGCGGACATAGTCCGAAATCTCGTGCCTGACCTTCATCTGGGTTATGCCCATTGACGTTCTCTAGTCTCTCGCTTTTTTTTCGATCATAGGTCCTCTTGTCGAAGCCTTCCAGATGTTTTGAACATCTTCGTCCTTTTCCTTGTTCTTTAAGAACAGATTCTCCGAGCTCTTGAGCCATGGATACCGCAGCAAAGTCCGAGCCCGACGCGTTGAACGACACAGAACCCACGCCTACGCCGAGCCTTCCGGCTCTGAGTTCAGAAGACCTTGAACAGTTTCGTCAATGGCAAGCCCAACAGTCGGCAGCCAAGAAGGCGCCCGAACTCTCGCCTCAGAAGAAGGCGCGATTACAGGAAGATGAGGAAATACGCACTTTCATCGACAAGCTTACTGATTTAGATATCAACTTCGCCGACCTCGACCCCACTCTACAAGACAAGTTGAAGTCAAGCGCCACAGCGCGCACGGATTTTCTTGCCATCCACAACGCCACAGAGAAGTACGACCCGACCACTGGAGATTTCAAGCAGGCTGCTACGAAGAAGAGAATATTCAGCCCGGGCAATGAGCAGGACGTTCCCCTCCCTGAGGTCACTGACAATACCTCCTTGCAGCAGGCAATGATGAAGTACCACAAGCAGTCAATGCTGCCGAACATGGACAAGCTTTACCAATGCTGTGATCTCTTTTACAACCAGGTCCAAGCCGAGTTTTCCATGCAGCAGATTACCACTGAAAGACACTCAGCCCAACTGCAAGTACTGGAACGTGCCCGAGCCAACAAGACAGTTCTCCTCCTGGACCTTCCGGCCCTTTTTAACAAGAAAACGTTGGACAGCAACTTGTACCACTATGTCAACGGAGCTGGTCTACAATGGACAGACATCGCGGCCCTCCACAACCATATGGTTACTTCGCACTCCTCGGTGGCCCGAGTAGAGTTTGTCACAGAGATGCAGGCTCAGCAGTTTCGAGACTACATGCGGCAAACACGCAGATATTGGAAGTCGCCAGACATCCCAGACTGCAAAATCAGAATCGAGCAGGACTTGCCCACCGACGACAGACTGGCCATGCAGCCGTTTTACGCCTTAATCGACCTCCTCGCTGAGTGCACAGACACCCCGGACCTGCAGACCTGGAGGCAGACCCTCCAGATTTGGACTCCAAGAGACGAAGAGCCCAAGCAGCTTCTGGCCCAGGTCGCCTACGTGTTGGATCCCCGTTACCCTCGCCGTTATACGTGTCTTTTGCTGGTTCACGAGAAGTACTATGACGAGTTTCTGGTCAAGTGGCATTCCAAATTCACAAAGCGACTCCACGACACGGTACAGCTGATACAGGCCCTCCGCAGGGCCACCATTGACCGCACCACCACGCAGCGCGCTTCCTTTGACAAGGCCTTCGACCTCACAACCCTCGCTAGCCTCCAGGCTTTCACGTACCCCGTCATGCCAGTCCGAATTTCCTCTGAGCTTGCGAGCCTCTTAGAGTCTCACCCCATGTTGCCGTTTCAGGGAGCAGGTGGCCTTACGGCCCTCACAGCCCAAGCTTTCCAGGACCATGGTGTGGCAGAGGATTTCACAAAGGGTTCCCCTAAGTCCCGACCCTCCGGTAAGGGCAAGCAGACCCAAACCGCGTGGGGCCGTTTCACCCAGAACTATTCCACCTCGTATTCGTATTCCAGCTACCCAGCTAAAGGGTCCAAGAAGGGACACGGTAAATCCCAAGCAAAAGGCGATTGGAAAGAAAGAGACCATGATCATCGCACAAATTGGAAGGACCCCAACAATGATACCGACAACAATGGAGATCGTTGGGGCTCAGGCCCGTATAACCGCTTTGCGCCCCAGTCCCAGCCATTGTATGGAGATGCCCGCTCCACCGCTAACAAGGGAGCCAAACAACAGACGAAGAACTCCTACCAAGAAGGCAAAAAAGGATATTCCCAGCTCCAGCAGGTAGTCATTTGCTCCACATGTTCATGCGCTCTTGGGTTCAATATTGATTGCCAGGAATGCGGTAGGCACCCAGTTCCCCCGGGCTTTCAGTGGAAAGACACAGCCCCACTAAGAACCTTGATCTGCCCCTGCCTCAATGAAGCCGGCGTTATTTGCGCCCAACCCTTAGGACATTCCCCAGCATGTGAGTTTTGTAGAGAACATCGCAAGTACTGGTCCTCCCAACAAGTTAGAGACAACTGGTCCTCCGACCCCACCCCAAGAAAGGCCGAACTTTTGATGATGGATCGTCTTCTCTATGAGCTCGACACCATACAGGAAGCCACCCCTGAAACCACTCAACTCCTTCAAGCCATGAAGTCCAAAATTGAGGGTGTTTGGCGAGAACAATTTTCACCGAGTCAGTATGCAGCGCACTGGGTCGTCGTAATGTATGAAGGGGACCTCGGACACCTAATCCCCCTCCCGCGCCCGACTAAGCCCGCCTGGGTCAACCCCACATGGGACATGGAAGATCGCATCTATAACATGTATGGCCCCCTTGCAGACGACATCCTTCTAGCAACTTTTCACCTTGCATCATGGTTTAACCAGTACTTTAAGCACGTATGGAAGTCCCACGGGCCCCGGCTCACCAAGAAGTACCGCTTGCCTT